TGCCTACGGCCGGTGCGTGGCCGCGGCGGCGGGCGGGACGGCGGAGCTGCGGAGGGACGTCTGCCTGGAGGAGTTCCGGGCGCTGCGGGATTGCTTCGCCCGGGCGGTAGGTCCCGGTCCCGGTCCCGGTCCCGGTCCCGGTGGCCGCCGGTGCCTCAGCCCGGCCTGAACCGTGACTCTTTGCAGGCGAAAGCGACGCCGAAGTGACTGCGGTGCTGGCCCCGGTGCCCCTCACCCTGCGCACCAGCCTGAAGATGCTTCGATAAAAATAATAAATAAATTAAAAAAACAAACCACCAAAACCTCTCAAATCCGGCCCGGTTTGTCCTTAAATTACAGAATAAAGAGGCAGGTGGAGCCCTCGGCTGCTACCCCAGCACCTCGGGCCCGGGGTGGCTGCCAGGCTCGGGCAGCCACCAGCCCCCGGGGCTGCTGGAAGCCGCGGCCCGGTCCCAGGTAGGCCAAAGAAGCAGCACAGCCATGGGATGAGGTGCCCAGGGTGACAGATCAGAGATGGAAATCCCCCCACGGCCTGGAGAGAGCAGCCCCTCGCGCCCCCCCACCCCACGCCTTCATCTGCGCTTCAGGGAGCCCTTTCTTCCTCTCCCTTGCTGTGCTCCCAACATTCAAGACCCATTTTCCAGCTGCCAGCGAGCTCCAGCTTTGCTCAACAAGAAAATTTCCTGCAACGGCAGCAGGAACTGCAGGGGCGAGACGGACACCGGCCCCCCGGGGATGGCAGGAGCTCTGGGAACAGCCGGGTGCATGGCGCTTCGGGATAGCAGCCCGCATCCCCGCCATCAGGTTCCGAACGCTCCTGCTCTGGCAGCGGCTCTGCTGCAGCTGCTTGATCCCCTGAATGTCAAATTAGACGTTTTCCTCCCCAAGCCAGGCCCCGCATGCAAGGGCAGCAGGAGGATCTCGGTCTCCCCTCCTCTTCCCCAGCAGCAGCAGCAGGGAGGAGCAAATCTCAAAAAAAGCACAAAAGCCTCTTTTTTCCTTCGGGGCGCAACTCCCTGCAGGTACAGAGCAAAGCAGACACTGCTGCCTGCCCAGGCAGCCACAGCTCTGTGGCCAAATAAGGCTTACCGATCTTTTTTTTTACTTAAAAAAAAAAGAGAATGTGGATCAAAATGCTTCAGTTTCTTTTATTGATCAGCTCAGCCTCCCCTCCGCTCTCTCCCACCAAACGCTCCACCCCAGTATGAGCAGTCCCCGGCAAGCGGAGGCGATGCAGCTCCTGCCGGCTTCCAGCCCGGTTTGGGGTTGCCCACGGCCTGCGCCGTTCCCAGCTGCTGAGGAACATCGGGAGCATCTTTGGTCCTTTTGTATTCACGCAGACAACTCAATGCCAACAAACTGCAGGCAGGTCTGACCCTGCAGGGCAGGAGTCTGCCCTCACCCTGCCCGGGACAGACCAGGCCAGACCCTGGCAGGTAGCAAAGGGCAAGAAGGGGCAGATCCGGCTCCTGCTCCAGCTCCCTCTTGCTTTAGAAAGGCTGGTTGGTGCCACAGGGGACAATGTGTCCGCGCCGCAGGCTGAGAGACACGCTCTGGAGCCCGCTGCCACCATCCCTGCCCCGACAGACATGTACACAGCTGCGGAGCGGCTCCAGGACTCCCGGCCGCGTTGCTTGTGCTTTAAGACAGCGTAATGGAGAAGCTCACTGGTACTATGGGGGAAGTCCTGAAGGTTAAGGCCATGACAGTCACGGGGAAGTAGCACGGGTGGTCCTCCTGAAGAAGTATGCCCAAGTCTGTGGCTGTTGCCCTGTGGCTCTGTGTCATTTTAATGAGAAATTAAGATGACATCCTTCAAGCAACAAGCACACGTCCCAGGCAGGCGGCAGCAGAGTTCCCAAGTGACCAGAACCGGTATGACAGTCCCATGTGTCCGATAACGACCCATCCCTGGCTCTGCAAGGTCCCATCGGACACGAACTCAACGAGGCTAGTTTACCAAAGACACTTTGAGATACGGATATAAAAACCACCACAGTGATGAGGTCTGTAGACTCCAGGCTGGGAAATTTCAGCCATTCTAGTGAGAGCTTTGGGATTTGATTTCTTACATTCGCAAGTCAGGATGTAAAAACAACCAAAAAAAAAAAAACCAACAAAGGGATGAATCACTGTCTGGGAGCCTGAAACCAACCAGGGCTCTCATAGAAGCTCTTCCCTTCCTTGCTCATAAAATACATTTCCAGGGGCGGAGTACTGACATCTATGGATGTAAAACACAGCACAGAGGGGGGCTGGGAAGAATGCACAAAACAAACACGCTCCACCGCGTTACAGAGAGAAGAGGTAGGTATGCTTGAGCCAAGCCCCTGAGTCTGCCCTTTTAAGCCACGTCTTTTGTTCCCAAATTAGTCATCTCTTGCAGAAAAATCAAGCTGGTTTGGGAAGGGTCGGGGGGGGGCATTCTGCAGCCCCCGGGTTGAGCTTCATAATGCACTTTGGACAGGAGAAGTCAAGCTTGAAAGCCCAGATGAGAGTTGAGCGTCCGGGGAGGGTGGCGAGAGCAAAGCTCCGTGTTATTGCTAGTGTGTGGCCAACCAATTAAATCCCTGGGAGTAGAGGCAGCACAACAGCAGCAGTTGTGCCCGTTTAAGGCAGCGTTTCTACTAAACTAGGTTCCTAAACCACAACTATCTCCTAAACATGCAAGACTAACAGCTCCCATTTCAAGAGAAACACCAAAGCAATTGGCTAAGCTGGTCCTCAACTCATGACTTGATGCTTCTCCAGAATAAAGCCTTTCCCTAGATGTTGCGATCCCTGGTTCCCCTCCTTCCGCAGCCCCAGGCCTCTGCCCCAAAGCCCCACACAGCCTGGGCAAAGGAACCCGAGGCAGGTGCCAGGGAAGCTTTTCCAAGCAGGCGGGGGAACCTCGGGGAAGACCACCTCGGTTCTGAAAGGAGAGTTGAGAGCCGGATGGAGAAGGCAATTTGATATGAACGAGATGTTGAAAAAGGTCCTTGAAAAGCCAGCCTGGCAGGGAACCAAGGTAGATGGCAACCTCTGAAAGCCAGAGGACAGCAGGAGCTTTTCTTTCAGGGTTGCCATCTCCTCAGCCACCGGCAGGCACGCACAGCAAGGTGCTACTGTCGCAGAGACTCAAGAAGCCCACGGTCCCCTGAATGGTGCTCATGGGTCCAAGGAGATCCTGTAGGTCCAAGCACTGTGTCCAGCAAAGTGCTGCTGGCTTAGACCAACCACTGCCTGAGCAACAGTGGCCAAAAAAACAGCTGGTTAACTTGAACCTTCCCTATGGAGCTCCTCAGCCCTGTGCCTGTGGCCAACACTCGCAGCCACCCACCAAGCCCAACCACCCCGCTCACACGCTCCCGTCCGCCTGCGTCATCTGCTTGATCTGCCGGCTGTGGACCACCTGCTGAGCCCCCTCCGCAACTTGGTTTAATCGTGTCTCTAGAGCACTCCGGAGGTCGTTTACTTTCACATCTGGAAGGGGGTTCAGGCCAATTAAGACCCCCGCCCCCTGTGCAGCCTCCTCCTCCTCGGGAGGCAGCAGGTCCCGTCTCCTCCGGCGGAGGTCCAGGTCCGCCTGCAGTTTCAGGTCCCGGTTCGGTTTGACGTCATGGTCCAGCTTCTCGTCCCCCTGGGCAGTTGCTCCTTTCTCAGTCTTTTGGGCAGAAGCATTCTCAGGGCCTGGTTTCTTCTCAGCATCGTTTGAGAGACCTCCGTCCCCCTGCCTCTGCTTGCTCCGCAGACCTCCCTGCGGGTCCTGGGCCATGTCCGCCACATTCTCCCGAGGAGCTTCTTCCATTACCTCCCCTTTGCCAGCCAGGTCCCTCTGCGAGGCCTGCTGCCATCTGCCAGCACCCTCAGCTCCCTCGGCATCTGCACCTCTCTGACGCTCCCGTAGGTGCTGCTCGCTCTCTGCCACGTTCCTTTTACTGGAGGAGTCCAGTGCAACTGCCAGGTCTTTGGGCTCCACCTGACTCAGTGCTTTGGCTTTAAGGTCTATTCCTGAGTCTCTTTCCAGACTCTTTCCTGCTACTCCCTGAACTTTGGCAGCCCCCAGCTGTTCTCTTTGGATGGGAGCTGTAGCTACTTCCACGGCTTTCAGGGAATTCTTCTTCTCATGGACGTCTCTTCCAACTTTGGCTTCATGATCTCCTCCTAAATCCTCCGCCAAGGGCTTCTTTTCTAGGTGGTTTCTGGCAGCTGGAATGTGTTGGGCATCCCCATGAAGGGGATCCCAGTTCTCCGCGGGATTTTTAACAGCTCTATCATTCTCCTGTGGCGGAACCTTCCGCTCCTTGGGAAGAACCCCAGGAATCTCACGCCTGTGCCCAGCCTCTTCCAGCTTTCCTGCAGTCCCCCTGCGCTGCTCCACAGAGTCAGCAGGCTGCTTGCCCGGGTCCTGCGCAGGGTGCTCCAACAGCTCTTTGCTGAGCGGCTTTGCAGCAGCTTCTTGCTTAGCTCCGAGGCCCTCATCCTCCTTGCTCTTGGAGAGAGGCACAGCGGGCTCCTGCTGCGTTTCCACTGCAGAACAAAAACCTACATGTAAAAGCTTTTTCCTACAAGTGAGAGATTCCCTTCTTCTGCCACCATGTTCTGTACAACAAGGGACAGGAGAAGAGATTACACTACCAATGGCCATGCAGGAGAACAAGGAGAGTCATGGGGGAGAGTGTTATCCCTGCACACAGGGGCCGGGGATCCCCACCTCGGAGGTCAGGGTCAGATACAGGAATGGCTTTTGCAGAACAGACTCTGCCATGTGCCAAACGGACTCAGATCTCTCCCAGTCCGATTTTAAAGCTGCTTTGAACAGTGACCAGCCCTTGGAGGGGTCGCATTCTTTGGCGATGTCCTTACCCTGCTTTGGCTTCTCCTCTCCTCCCTCCTCCTGCCTCTGCTGGTGGATCTCCTTGTGCTGCTCTTCAATTACAGCCAGCAATTTTGCCTGCTGGTCAAGTAGCTGCTTCTGCTGTACCTGCTGTTCTTTGATCACCTGCAGCAGCACAGCATGATCCAGCAGTTTCGCCTGCCCCGCTTCTAGAAAAGGGAAAAAAAAGAAAGAAAAAAAAAATTCCATGACCCAAACCCCGCACTAATCATCTCTCGGCACTGGAGGGGCTGCAGGGGCTTTCCTTGGCAGGAAGGTCCTACTCTGCAAACGCTGCCCATTTACCAGAAGGGAGGGAACGATGCGGCACAGCTCTGCTGCTGGCACTGATGGCAATCACAGCAGCACCACTCCGGTGTACCTCTGCCAAGGACGGCAGCCAAAAGCCCAGACTGGCTGCTCACTGCCACATGTACCAACACAGGACATTGCCCTCCCAAGATCTGGGCTGAGGGATCAAAACCAAGCTCTCATTAACTGCTCAGGGAGAGGAGCCGTGAAGAAGAGGTACAGGGGAGCAGCTCTGCTGGAGTCCCAGCGCAGGGAAGGATGAGGCAGCTGCTTGGCACAGGAGCTGGAAAAGGACAGGACTGGCAGAAGTTGGTCAAGAGTGAGGGGCTCAACTGCCCAAGCGAGATGAGTTGCTTTTAAAGCTGCCTGCGGTACCTGGGGAAGACCCAGCGCTGCTGCAGCTCGGCTCTCAAGATCAGCCAGGCTTCTCAAACACAGATGTTCTATGTGTGATGATCTATCTCCTTAACACACTGCAAAGACTTCATCCCAGCTAAACCGAGCCTGGAAAGGCCGCAGGCAGCAAACTGGTAATCTTAGGAGGAACTGGAAGAAATTGGCTAAGGTGCAGCAGTGGGAGATGCCCTCAGAGGGGAACTACCTGCATGGTGGGATAAACCTACACAGAAACATCGACCCAACACATGAGGTACAGTTGCTGAGCTGGGTCTTTTCAGGGGGCAAGTCCTGTGTTACAGCCAGAGCGATGAGGCTGCTGTTGTCTCTTCTCCTGGCTTAGACAAGCCAAGATCTAGCCCAGCCCACGGCAGGAAAACACCCACTGAACAACACTCCTGAAGTTTTTGGCTTTGAGCACAGTGAAAGGGCTGGGATCCCGAGCTGCAGTCAACGGTTTAACGGCCGAGAACTCTCGCACGCAGCAGCGCAGGTGGTCAGGCAGGTTGAAACCACAGCGGTGCAGAAAGGCAGCCCCACCTTCCGCCGAGCCGAGCCACCACCGCAATAAAACTGAGCTCCCCGCGTCACGTAACAGGAGGAAATCCCTGCCCACCGGCCCTTCGCAGCCACAAAGTCACACAAAACAGATGAGTGCATTTCGGGCCAAGCAGAAGTGACTCACGTTGATTCACTCGCTGCAAGCGACACGTCACGCACAAAATATGAGTCCCAGCTCTGCACGGAAACGTTGCTGCCTTTTCTCTGCCTGGACAGACACCCAGACGTATCGTATCTTATCTGGAGGGTACAAACCTGTGTGTTGCTTGCCTCCCACACCAGCAAGCAGCTTTCCTCCGAAACTCAAGGTGTTTCGAGACTATTATGCCTCACAGGAAATAATGTCAAAATTAATAGCCTGTAAAATGCCATTTAAATTAAAAAGGGATGCTGTCCAGGTTAATCCTTCTCCAGCATGCACTGCCTCCCCCTGTCCCGCTAATCACCCACAAGGTGATTACAGAGAAATATTTCCAGTTCACATTATGGCGCTATTAGCTGAGGGCCCCTGGAATTCCCCTTCCACTTCGTTTAAAGAAAGTTGGGCTGTGAAGGGGAATTTGGTCGTTTCAAGAGA